CAGGATACCCTCTAGGTGATAGTTCTTGATTACTTTTTGATAAATAATTCGTTCTTATTACGAAATAGGAGCACTATTTATCAATCTGTAATAAAAGACGTGAGGAAATTCTGTCTTTTTTAAAGACAAAAATTTTTGAGGCGAAATACCCAAAAAGAAGTTTGTAAAAAATGAATCCGCCTCAACAATATAGAACTTATCTACAAGCTTTATTGTTACTTTTTCGTAGGGCAGCTTGTCCAATTGCAACTAATTTTAATGTCCAGATTTAAAAAAATATAAATATTAAACTTAAAAATCGATGTAAACATTTCAAAAGCAGACTAAATTTCAAGCACAGTGTTTAGGGCCAAGGATCTTTAAAAACAATGTTTATTTATAAATAGACATTGTTTTTAAACAGGCATATATGCCTGTTTCTGTTGATATTCAATTGTGAATAAGTTTCCTTTCATTGTTATTCTTGTTTTTCACTTAATTAGACTGTTTCAAAAGTTTTTCAAGTTCTCCATCAAAAAAAGGTGCTTAAAATTAATTCAAATTAAAGGTGCCATACTGTAAGCACGCCAAAAACCTGACAATATCTTCATAAATGTAATTGCCAAAAGCTTTCCTCGCTCTTGTCACCTAAACCACGTTAAAAACTTATCGTAAATCAAGGAATTATTATTAAAAACGATTGACTTAATAACGAAAAATTTTAAAAAAAATCGATTCAGGTAAATGCATTCAAATAGCTGCACTTAAAACAAAGATAATGTGAATGCATGTAAATGGAGCGAAGCGGACTCGTGTCTGGCGTGTGCGGAGGATAACTCAGAGCACGATGCGTGGAGACGCGGCACGCGAGCGAATTCGCATTGTGTTAAGGCTTCCGGTTTTGTTAATGGGAACGCTGGCTTAGATTAGCTGCCTTTTATACCAAATGCATTGTTCTAAGCATGTTGAGCATCCGCATTTCAACTCAAGGAAGCAAACCTGCCTTCAGTCGATTTTTTTTTAGTTAACTCGAAATCACCCTGTATATGTGCTGGGATCGTTAATTTCGCGGCATAACAGTTTTTCAGTAAATCCGCGTCGATGTTATCGTTTTCTGAAGGCTTATTCCGAAGAAACCATCTACAATCGAACCCGTTTTGCAGATAAGTTCGCTGCCGGGAGCCCAGCGGCCATCATAATTATCTTATACGGTCAGTTGGTGCCACTGACAGCAGCCGCCGCACATTTTTCACCCGGTATAAAATTTCCAATACGAAAAAGTGTATGTCATGAGATTTGCCATAATTGATCTACAGTAATCAATCAGTATTAATTAAATCAGTTGAGAAACTAGGTGTTGATGTGAGTTGCAAAACTTGATAGAGCTTTTGCACATTGCAAAGTGAACTTGTTAACAATATTTAACAATATTGCTAAATTGTCATTAATCATGTTAAAGTTAATTTTTCTTTCTAGTTAATTGGGTTTTCAGGCTTCCAGATTTCCTTCTTGATCGGACGAATTTACAATCTTGTCCAAGCTTCGTTTCCAACTTGTTCATACAGTTGCCAGTTAAAGTTTTGGCTGAGTTCAGTAATTTTCAACAATTCTCTATTTATAGTGTGACAATGCATCAAAAGCCTGGTAAATGTAATATGGAAAATAGTGACGGAATTTTTGTTTTGAATTTTTGTTGAGAAAATCATTATTATTAACAAAGACAAAATGAAATGAAAACTCTTGCCGTTCTTTGGGAAAATTTTGCCAAAATCACAACATTTAAAGCAGAGTGAACAGTCGAGTTTCATTAGAGTTTTCGTTTTTAATTTATATTACATTTTTATCTGAAAATTTCCATGACTTATTGCCATGAATCAAAAATTAATTTTTGAGAAAATAGTTTCTAGTCTGGCAACGAAGACTGCACTTTATTGTATCTTTTTGCGGTTTAAATTACGTCTTCTAAATTTTCCATATAAAAACTTAATTTTTACTCAATTTTTCATGCATCCAACTATCACAAAATTATCCGAAGTTTAGACAAATGTACCCCAAATATATACAAATACTTAAGTACTATAGCTAATACAGCTCAAGTTTCTCACAAAAAAAAAACATTTTACTTTATAGCTCTCCCGGGTCTGTTGTCCTTGTTGTAAAGTGGAGCCATAATAATATACCCCAAAATATAAGAATATAAAGTATTCAAAGACGGGAATATTTTTGTTTATGAATTAGAGTTAAGTTTTTTAGCGGAAATCAGTTGCAAAAACAAATTTTTCTAATTGGTTATGTTTAAAACAAAAACTAGTTTGGAGTAGTTTGGGTTAGTTTGAGTTGGTTTGGGTTTGTTTGGGTTTTGTTGCGTCTGTTTCGGTTTCTTTGTGTTAATTTAGGTTTGTTCGAGTTATTTTCGGTTAAGTTGAAGAAATTCTGGAAAATGCATGTGTAAGCAAAAGAGAACCGCGGTGTGTTAACTTTTATGCAGAAGGCTTTTGAATATTTTACTTTTCGTATTTTTTACAA